TTTTATTTAATTTATTTATTTATTTTTTATTGTTTGTTTTTTTGGAGGGGGGGTGTAGGGAAGAGCTATTCCCTGGCTCTCGCCTCAGAAATTTATTCCCCTTGTATTGTACATCAAAACGAGGAATATAGTATTGTGAACACTGCTGAAGAAAATAATGTAGGCCCATTACTTTTTCGTTTTTATGTGGATTACATGAATATTAATACACTTTAGCACTGATGTCATAAGCGAAGGAAGTGTTAATCTGAAACAATTACTCTGCTGCTTCTAGAAATGATATGAGTCACTAGCATCATTGCTAATAATGATATCATCTTAAAAATAACGAAGGAAACTATTACGACCCCTGTCCATTTAGTTTAGTTCAGGTACTCATAACTTGCTTCCATTGCTTTCTTAGCGAAATTTAGAAAAACATACAAAGATATTATGTAATTTGTCTCGACTTCCTCACCACCGCTTTGCTTCACTTCATTTCGACATGCTTCGCTTCGCTTTCCTTCGCTTAGCTTCGTTTCACTTTACTTAGTTTTGCCTAGCTTTGCTTTACTTCGCGTAGGTTTTTAAAAAATTAACTGAGTTAAATGCTGTACTCGACTGAACAACGTAAATCAATGACAATCTTTGCCCATCTCGAAGGGAAGCATTAATTTCTCTTTGTCATTTACAATGGCAGTAGTGTTCCAAAGTTCATGTGTACTCATGTATACACACAAGAAAGAACATTCATCTTACGTACTGAAACACCTCTGCTCAATAAATGTACACACACACACACACACACACACACACACACACACACACACACACACATACACAAATAAACACAAACACAAACTTACACACGCACATACACCCGCGCACACATACGCACACATACACGCGCGCGCACGCGCGCACGCATACACACACGCTCGCGCGCACGCACATACGTACACATACACGCACACTTACACACACTCACACAGACACAAACATGGCTAACTCTCTCTCTCTCTCTCTCTCTCTCTCTCTCTCTCTCTCTCTCTCTCTCTCTCTCTCTCTCTGTGTGTGTGTGTTCCTGTCTTTCTCTCTGATGAGTTTAAAGTATTTAGGTATTTAATTACAGTTGAATTTCTATCTGCATTTCAATCACTGGGCTTGGCTTAGCCTAATGATTTCCACTGGCAAGAGAAAGAAGGAACAGAAAAAGAGACGGCACAGTAAAGTAAATATATGTATCGCACGTCCATATTTGAGTATGAATATTCATAAGAGCTGCCAAATCGTGAGAGGAGTCATGTGCTTCCTGCAGGTGTCCGGCAGGTTTATTTATAACCCGCAAACCCCGGAGCAAGGCCGACGAGAGGGGGGGGGGGGGGGGACAGAGGGGACATTTTGTTTTATCATGAATCAAAAGATTATAAAGATACAATCTTATTTACATTCCAGTTCCCAAGAGCATAACTTTGGACCGGGCTGAGCCTCGTACTCGCTATTACGCGATCTCACGTTTACGAATCCGTTATCCTCAAACACATAGAATATCGAAGTCACCTGCACGGCAGAGAAGAACAGTCATGTGGCGCGTTGACATAAAATCACGATACCTTGCCCAGGATATCATTTTTTATTAATATTCTTTTTAAAAATGTAGATGTTTATACGCCTCCATCCACACATTTTCGGTCATTTTAGAGGCACCCTTCAAGCTCTGCTTGTCAGGGCCAAACCGGGCTGAGACTACTGAGAGTAATGCAACGTTCCAGAAGAAAGACTGAGAAACTCGGTAAAAGTTCTCGCCACTCGCGAATCAAACTTGGGTCTCTTGCGTGCGACAGCCATGTGCTTAACGGCTACACCACAGTCACAGGTCCCTTGGGATTCATTGAGCTTAATCTTTCTATTGTATCGTGTCAATACTGTAAGGTTATTTATACTGCGGGACCTCCAATTTAACGTCCATCTCCTCTAGAATAGCACCAAATGAGCGGAAAGCTACGAAAATCCTTCTCCACATAATTCAAGCTCAAAAAGGCCTCAGTAGAGGTACTTGGTTTTGGTGCCATTGAGTAATTGATATGCCCCAATTTCAATTTAAAACTCTTTTTTCCTCAAACCATGTCAAGGAGAATCACACTGAAGTTCCATTTTCATCCTTAAACGAAGCTCAGTTTCTTGACCACATTTAGCTCTAAGATCTTGAAACATGACTATAAGGAAACTTGAGCCCCCTTTCTGAACTTACTTGACCTGTTACACACATACATGGTCTTCACTCTCAGTAGGGTCATATTTGGATTGTCTTGGCGCCATGCATCAAAGACATTATTTAGAATCAGGACTGGTTGCTGGGGGGGGGGGGGGGGAATTTTACTTTTACCAAGAAATATAAGCTCTGAGCTCCGTTAGCGAATTTTTCAAAAGTCACATTATGGTAACAACCAATCAGGAGGACAACTCGTGTCAAACAGAAGTCAGAATTGTAGCTGATCGAATTCCAGCTGAAAGCCAACTGTTTGTATGCCCTGTCTCTGTCACCTCTCCCACTACAACAGAGTGGTCACAGCGTTGTCCGTTTGACGTCAGTGCGACTGGAGCAAATCAGACATACAGTATAACCTTGTGCACTTTCTTCCCGAGCCGATCCGATCCGATCCAACGTATTGGACAAATGTACACTGTCCGTAAGCCATGTCACCTGTGGTATTTTAACTTACTTTATTGTTTCTCACAAGATCAATCGAATTGATTTCCTTTACTGAAAAGAAAAATGTGCCCTTTTCTCTCACTTCATGGCTCCGATTATGTAATGCACCTTCCGTGATATGCCTCGTCACTTCAACTTTGTCATTTTCCCGAGGCGGAGTGTGGGGTATAGCAGACGAGGGGGACATTCCAAAACAATGTACATAAAGTCCAATCAATGTAAGTGTATTTCGGTAACGACGAAACTGTAGTTTAGTAATATCGAAGAACTATCTGTTGTTCAGATCAGCTCCGTAGTAGACACCATGTCGGTCATCTCAAATTCTTGAAAGACCTCGGACAGTTCCGTCAGGATACTCCGCTGACAGAAAATTATGATAACCTAGAAGAACGAGAAAAATAGTTCTCGACATAAAATGCCATGTTCTCTTTTATCAAAGAAGGGTAACCACTTCCACTGGCACCCTGTAATACTGGCAAAAACATCGCCGTTGCTGATAGTATGGGTGACCGTTTCCAACCTGAAACTTTTCCGAAATAGTCAGACGAAAAAGAAAATCAGCATTGTGTAAACTTGAATGAGCGTTCTCTCTCACTGAATGCTCAGTGATCGAAGGACCGTGAAAGGGAACAGACTCTCTTGTGTTGTCGTCGTAACAGTTGCGCGTGTCGTTATTCCAAAGTTATATGTTGACATGTCTTTGACTTGTCGTTGAAGCATTGGAAATATCCGCACTTAGTCACTCTGGGACGTCGGAAGCACGTGATGTATTTGGAGCAGGTGTATGGGTGAGCCACCTTCTGATTGTACTTTCCTTTGCAAATATTTCCTGTGGAGCGAGGTCATTTTTTGGTTTCAGTTAGAGCTTTAGTGAGAGGGGAACGGAAGATGTTGGGTATAAGAATACAAGATCAAATAAATCACACACAAAAAAATAAGAGAAAAGTAGAAGTGGCAGAATATTTCGCTCCGCCTAAAGCGAAGAGATACAGTATTATGTGTAAATTGTGCCCCCTTGACTCGGGTTCGAAAATCCCGTGTCAGAATCTCCGCAAGTTTAATAGGGAAAAGAATACTCTGGATCAGGGAGTAAAATTCTGCATTTTTAAAGTTCATAATCCGTTTGTAAACTTGATACTTAAAACCCATTTACGAATACCTTAACATACCTGCCACTAAACCGTCTTCACACCTAGCTCCTCTCGACACTTGTCTTGGTCCCATAGAATAGACTAACACTAACTATGTCTCCTTAGCAGAGACTGTGCCCATCATTTTGGAACTTCATGGTAATAAACAAGACGATTCCAGTAGGGAACGGGATAGAGTGTGCCCACGTCCCTCGTGACTTATTGGAGTAGAGGAAGATAGGACTAACGTTAACCTTACTTAACTGCAATCCCACATCATCACTCATTTCCACCAATATTTCTAAAATCTTCACTGCTCTCAGATCAATGACTTACATCTAGATCTATAATCCTGGAATCTCTATCTGTAATAGTTACTTGTCCTACTAAGTATGCACGTAATACACTATTGGACACCATCATACGCACTTGTTCTCCTGATCAGATGGTGTCAATCTCATATAAATGGGCAAGGGATTAAAAAAAGGAATGGCAGATATCCAAAGTTTTACTAAAGCAAAAACGGAAATGGGTTGGTCACATAGGTAAAGTGAAAGTTAACAGGTTGACAAAAAGATGTATTGACAGGAAATGGTGAAGTGGGAGTCCAGAAAGGTGGGGACAAGATGGCATCAGAGATTTCATGGGTATAAAAAAAAAATTTTTTTTTTTTAAACCATGAGAATTTATGATAAAATAGCGGTGAGACAAACTGTAATACTGGTCTCTAGGGCATTAATTCTAGAACCAATGCTTGCAAACTTTTAAAAGCCAGTGCCCATTTTTGACACCTTTAAGACGTTAACATTTTCATTCCTCCCACCTACACGTATTTTCAAGCGGGTCATTAAACAACACCTGGCACTATCCGGCGACTCCCATCGCCCACCAATTTACCAAAACGCCCACAAGGGGGTGATGTCCCCCACGTTGGGAAGAACAAGCATAGGTACCCCCCCTCCACCCCCCAACAAACATTGAAAAAGAATCGGACCCCTCC